CGCCGCCGAAGCCGCAACGAGTCGTATTCGTGCATTGCATGTCGTCAGTGGTATCGTCGGGGCGGCGTCGTTGCCCGCGTCGATACAGCTAGTCTGATCGTCGTCGTGTCGTCCTCGTTGATCGCAATCGAAGTGGCTGGGCGTCCGCCGCGCCGCCAGAGGGTCTCGCGTGTCGGCGATCCCGAGCGCCCGACGTCCGCAATCCCGTTGCGCCACCGCCGGTGACCGAATAACGTGTATAAGTGACTTACCGCCGAACACCCACCTAAATGTGCTCTGTCGCGTACCTTCCTTGTCCCCACATTGCCTTGCCTTTGTCTGCTGCCCTCAACCAAGAGGGGAACTCTCGTACGGTTTCACTTCGGGAGAAAACTAAAAAAAAAACAGCAAAATACGTGTGCGGCACTTGTCATGCCTCTCCACATGGCGTTGATGATTCGCATCAAGATGCCCGCTCGTGGAGGWTCGGRTATTGCCGGAGTGACTCCCGGGTCCAGCCTGACGAACGAGTCCCAAAAAGGGAGAGTGACATCCTTTCCCTTGGTTGGCGTGACGTCCAACGCTTCGTCATTTCGCTTAATTTTTAATTCTACGGGCGGCGCTACAATCACGTTGTCTGCAATTATTTTCATCTCATCCGGTCCAATGCTGGAGGGTTCCTCCGGTTGAGCGATCACGGTAGTCGACGAGTCGTCGCCCGTGAACTGCTTAGCATAATTCAATACATCTGCCAAATCTCCACAAGTTATTTCTTCTTTGTAATTATCAAATCTGTATAGCTTATTCTCCATTTCTTCGTACTCAGTGTTGCTAATTTTTTTGTCGACAGCTTCTCTAATGGTGGTCTTTTCGTTGTGGTCGGATTTCTTGATATTGTAATATGCAGCCATATTGCAGGTGTTTAATAATACGCATGTATGTAGACAGAAAAAATCAAATGAACCGTTTCCGGATTTCGTCGTAGACCATTGCCCGTGATTTCATACAAACACCGTCATTTATTAGCAGCCAGCAAGTACTCAATAATATCATAATTGGTCATCATCAGTTAGACTTGGAGCAGTTGGAGCCCGTTTATTTTTTCAAAAACCATGATTATTATTATTATGATTATTGCTATACCAAATTACCGACTATACTTAGGCAGAGATTTTCTATTGTGTTATAATATTTTGACGAGGATTTATATTTATCGGTTTTCATTATATAATATATACCGTTGTAACAACAATTCTTTTTTTTTAACATGTTACACTTTTTTTTTTAATCCACCATACGTCCATTCCCTATTTCATTATAAAACTTTTCAAGAATATCAAACATTTCATCATTATATGGAAATTCATGGCAATATATGCATAATGTAAATTAATGATGAAAATGCATCTAGTAACGAAAAAATTAATTCATTAACTTCAACTACTTTAGCAATATCATAACGATTCAAAATTCTTACGGCTGTTGTAGTCTAATGATGAAGTCTTATTTTTTCAGCTTATAAGTTCG